CTAGATTGCAAATCACCCTGTCTCTACAGATTTCTATCTGCTGCTTTCAGCTATGCCTTTGTCATCTCTCTTGCCTGGTCTCAGTCTCTCCAATCCTTTCTTAACAAACTTGATGTGATGATCTGATTATGCTTCTTCTCTTCCTTGCTCAAATACTGTGAAGACTCCTTGGCCACCTGCAGGAAAATGTCAAACATCCTGTCATGATCAACAGGTGCATTAATGATCTGCCCACTGCCCCATTTCTATAGGTGTGAAGATCCTTTCTTTTTATAATCTATGCTTTTATTTGGAATTGTTGCAGTTGCTCCAGTGCACAGTTGTTCTTTATTTTACGTTGGTTTGTAAGAGCCATCTTAGGCTTAACCCTCCTTGTGCATCTCAGGACCACAACCTTGCATTCCTTCTGGGTTTCGTTTATTTGAAGCACAGTGGGGCCACTTCACTCTAGAAGTGTGCAACATACCCTTAATTGGGTTCCCAGAGAACTTGTACTTATCTCTACTTTACCTCTCCTCTTAGTGTAATACACTGACCTGTGGGCTTGTGGGACCATTCCAACAAAATAGCTCCTGGATTAGGCTATGCAGAAATGAAAAATGTGTACAAACATTGGCTCTGGATTAGTGCAAGTCAGGGTTCAAATATTTACTCACATACTTAATCGCAGCGCAAACCTGTGCAAGTTACTTGTTTTATCTGAAATTTGAGGTTGCTATGTACAAAATGGGAATAATAATAGTATCTACTTCATTATGACATAATCTGTAGTATTATGTGTGATGCAAGTTTTAGCACACTATCCCATAATTGTATAATTTTTATAATATATATTTTTATGTAAATTTGTAGTAGCACAGTATCTAGAGCTTTGCAAATCCCCCATAAATTAACTGTCCTCATTACTTTTCCTGTTGTTATGGAGAGCAGTACTGTGTTATATTAAGCTTTTAATTTTTCCAGTCACGTAGCAGGCATGCAGCAAATATTTGTTGAATCAATTGATGAATAAGCAAGATAGGGCTGTTTAACCTGTGCACACTGGAGTGCCCTGACAGGACACATTTTCTACCAACCTGATACAGAATTTTACTAGAAGAAAATATCAGTATTAAATCTTCAAGTAAAAATGAAAAGCTTCCTCAACCAAAATAACTTCATAATTTGTCTGGTAATTGCCCCCTGCCGTTGGAAGAAACACATGTTTCTGATAATGAACAGGCATTTATTTTTGGGACATCGTTTGAGCAAGAAGCAGAACAATATCTCCATTCCCTTCACTCTGAATCTTCAGAGGCCACTAGAACTCCTAGGGCTTAGTAGTGTTCATTCCCACAGGCAAATAGGTCTATAATTTGTCATTTACCTCAGCTTTCAGAATCTGTAAGGATCAGGAGGAAATAAAGTCTCTTTTCTCCTGCTGAATTCAGCATTTAAGGGGCATGTCACCAAATAGACATAGTTTCTTGCTTTATTGAGAAATTTGTTGCTAGGACACAGTCTTAATTTGTTTGCACACTTTTCATAGGAATGATGGGTGTTTATTCACCTAGAGAAACCTAGGTGTAAGAGATAAAGGTTGTTGGAAAATTCATGACAGTAGAGAATATCCAAAGTGTCAGAAAGATGGGAATGTGCACTATACAGGAGAGCTCTAAAGACCCACTCTCCTCTAAGGCAGTGAGAAATACACTAGTGAGAGGAGGTCTGTAGCAGACACCACCATTGAGCTGAATTCTTTGATTTTCATAGAGATTATGGAATCTCAGTGTGGCAGAGACCAAGGGGGTAGCACTTAACCACTGCTACGGTTTCTGTTTAAAATGTTCCCCCCAAATATCTTGTGTTTTGAGGTGGGGCCTCATCAGAAGAGGTTGGTCCCAGAGGGTGTGACCTGGAAGGGTGTATTCTTTTCCCTGGCTCTTCCTTTCTCCCTTGTTTCCTGGCTACTATGGGGTGAGCAGTCTTCCTTCACCAGGTCCTTCCACCAGGCCATTTCTCTCTTGGAGACATGCTACAATGGCCCTCTAAAGCATGAGCCAAGATAAACCTCTCCTCCTTTAAGATGTGGATGTCAAGAATTTTGAAAGGAACGGGAAAGCTGACTAATACAACCTCCAAAGGCAAGATTGACACATTCACCTTCATATCTTTCTCTATCCTTGATAATACTGTTGTTCTGATGTCTACTTTGTCTGATGATAGAGCTGTGCCACCTTTCTTTTGTTTAGTATTTGAGTCACATGTATTTTCATGTATTTTTAGTTTTAACCTATGTTTTAGATTTAAAATGAATTTGTTGTAGACAGTATACATTGAATCTCACTTATTTATCCTGATTATCTTTTAATTACTGAGTTTTGACCATTCATATTTAATGAGATTATTTATATGTTTCAGTTGAAATCTGTCGTTTTGCAGGCTATTTCATATTTGTTTCATCTGTTCTTAGATTTTCCTGTCTTTTCTGATTTGTTCATGTATGCTTTAAGGGCTTCACCACAATAGTTCCAATTTATTTATTTCATATTTTGTGCTATTATGTTGATACATTTACTTTTACATATGCTATCATCCTATGTTGCTACTATTAGATTGTCAGCTACATTTTAGAGAAATTAAGATCAAGAAAAAAAGAAAACTATTTCCTTTTACCTTCATGTGTTTCATTTTTATGCTTTTGCAATGCAGTGATTCAAAGAGAGTGTGATGTTTTGAAATCAAACCAATCATTGGGCTTTCAAACTTCTACAACAGGAATCAGCAAGTATAGATTCTTGGCCTTAAAATTGGCCTGCATTTTCGGATTCTCCAATGTCCTTTCCATGTGTGGCGAGAAAGACAATGGAAAAGCAAGCACCTCTCAAGGAAGAGCAAGAGCTATGGGGAAAAAAATATTGGAGAACTGTTGATAGGGAGCAAAACTGGGGCCTAATCAACCAACTGTCCCTACCCTCGGGGTGTAAGAACCCTCAGGTCTATCTGGTAGCACTTCATTATTGTTGTCAACAAGTGACTTCAGTGTACCTCCTATGCATGCCTTCTAAGCTTGAAGTTTATTGGGGATTTTGTTTCCTTTTTCCAGCCTTGGATGTAGGTAAGCTGAAGGCAGAAGGCTTTCCTGTTTTGTTGAGCGGTCCCGAGAAGGCACATACAGAATATAGAAACTATAATGAGATCTTAGCCAGAAAGTCTGATACTGTGACAGGAAAGGACTCTGGCATATTTTTCTTGGGGAGGAGGTTTATGTGTTTTATATGTGCAATGGAGGGAAGCATATCTATTTAGACTAAAGGGACACATGATTTTAGCACTTAGATTTTGTTGGATAACAAGCCACCCTCAAATGAAACTATGTCCTATTTCTATTGATTCTGGATGATTTCTCTGGTCTGTGCCATGTTGGCACAGCAGAGTGGTGTAAAATGTGCCTAGCATCAGCCAAGTTAGTGGCTGGTCTGTGCTTGTTCACATGGCAATTGTTTCAGAGTTCCCAGGGACATTACAACAACAAATCCAGTGGAAGTGCTTTATTAGCCTCAGCTCACATCACATTTGTCTATTCTCATTGACCAAAAGATGTCACATAGTTAAGTTCAGATTCAAACTATGAAGAAATATCTTCCCCCTCTTGATATTGATGGAGCATAGGCCATTGGAAAAGACCTTGCATACGGGGATGTTAAGAATTTGTGGTCAAACGAGTCATTTGTAGCAAATGGATGCATCTTGAAACCATAATGTTATCTGAAATAAATCAGACACTCAAGTTTAAATATCAAATTGCTCTTTTAGAAACCCAGAGTAAAAATGAAGAGCAAAATAAAAGATAGATAATAGAAAGTAGGGAGATAGATGTCTCTCAAAGGGGAAGGGGATCAACAGATGAGTGGGGAGTGGGGACAGGGAAGAGATAAGAGATGAAGAAAAGGAGTTGGGATGTGTTATGTATGTGTACAATCCACACAAGGAATGTAAACATCATGTATTGCAAACATGTCCAAAATGAAAAAGGAAGGAGATCAAGGGATGGGAAGAAGGGAGAGGGAGGGAAGGGGAAGAGGATGAAAAAAGGAGTTAAGATGTGTTACGTACATGCACCAACTTCCTAAAAGGAATGCAAACATGTACTACACACGCACTAATAATCCAAAAAAATAATTTGTAGTCATCTTTTAAATTCTCAGAAATTATTAACAGGTCATTTTGTAGCAATAAGATTTTATATCATTGTCCTTTGTCATGTGATTTACACAGCAAAGTATAGAAGGAATACATCCCCCCTGGCATTGATAAGATTGGCCATTTGACTTTCTTTGACCAATGAATAATGAGCAAATTTGAGGTTTATTTTGCTTCTTTAGTAGCTTTCCAGTCATCCCATAATTCTACCTTTGACATTTTTTTTCTTTGCCACAAAAATGGCATATTCCAAGTTAGTATTCCTTATTTAGTTGGATCATAGAATGAAGTCATGCAAAGCAGCATCACAGGTGGGTGATCTATCACATGAATAAAAAACACAAACCTTTTGGGGGGCAATCCATTGAGTTTTAGGGGTCATTCTTCACCACATCAAAACTTAGGGAGAACTTATAGTGATTTATTAATTTCTCTTTTGTATATTTAATCTATTACTTTAAAATGCATTTTCCTTGTTGACTTTTTAGATTATTCAAACCTCTCATATATATTTTAAAATGTCCTTGTTTCTATTTTCTCTTTCGGCTTTGACCCTTCTCCTCCCAATCACAGTAAATTTCTCAAAAAAGATATTCACGGCTCATATTCCCTCATATTCTGTTCACTCCTCAGATCCCTCCAGTCTATAGTCTTCCCTGATAGCTCTACTAATATAACTCTTGTAGAAATTACCCACCACCCTCATGTAGCTAGCTTTTCTGAGTAAACAGTATCCATCCGAGAAACTGACACTTCAAACATTTGAAAAACCAGCAAATCTGACCTGGATTTTTTTTTCTCCTTTTTTTCTGTTGTAGGTCTTCTGTGATTTTCATGGTCACTCCCAAAAGAAGAATGTGTTCATTTATGGCTGCAGTGTCAAGGAAACCTTATGGCAAGCAAACTGTACCGTGGGTGCACCTGCTCTCTTGGAGGACATCAGCTACAGGGCAAGTTACTGGGGGACCTGATGTGAAGCACTGTGTGACCATAGTATGACCTTTGAGACTGGGTACCACCAGTTTTTTCTAAATAAGCATTTTAAAGATTTTAACAATAGGATAGTAATACAGGCAGGATAAAGACTTGAATGACTTCTTCACAGATTGACTTATTTCCTGGTTGTTTTGCTTTTACTTTGTATATGAATAAAGGGCACAGAAATTGGAGACAGGAAATCTTATTTTAGTGCCTGGCTTTGCAATTAGTAAGAAGAATGTGATGATGAGTCATTAGCATTACCTCTCTCAACTACCATGTTCTCATCTGTAAAATGAAGATAGTAAAAATATTGGAAGGAACACATTAATACTGAATCCAAAATAACTTTAAATAAATATGAAGGGATAAACAAATTTAAGGCCTTAGACTATCCATATCCTTCTATGTGAGTATTCCATAAAAGCAGGGCAGTAATCCATTGACCTAATTCAATTTTTATCTGGATTCCAGTTAGTAGAGCTCCAGTATTGCTTCCTGAACCATGTAGGAAGTTAAGGAACTGTGAAAAAGGGAGGACTTTTTTTTATTAGAATAGATAAGATAAGCTCTTGCTTACTGAACAGAAGGAAGAGGTAGAATAGTCAAAGTTGTCTGAACACAACATGAAAACTGGTCATTGTTTCAGATTTATATAGGAAAGAGGAAAATTAAGATGCCACCTCCCTCTTCTAAATCTTTTATGATTTTAAGTGTATCATTTTACTGTGTACAGAATAGATTCATCTACAAGTTTACTAATACTGTAGTATTAAAAGAGGCAAAAATCCACCAAACTACTGTTTCACCTGGAAATACTGTCCTTGTTTCCTCAGTTTCTCTCCATTCTTCTTTACTATGACCACTGGAAATAGGCTCCTGTGATCAGTACAGCTACCCAGAGACCATTATAGCAGAATTAACAGCTTATCCTCAATGACCTATTTTCTCTAAGGCTTAGCCAGAGTAATAGTAATATATTTCAGAAAGCTTAACTGCCTTTTATTAGGAAACTAGTTAAGTAAACCCAAATATTTATCTGGGAAGCTCATGCTGACTTCTATAAAATTATTTCTTTTATATATAACTTGAACTAAAAAAAAACTCTATTATTTAACCTTAAATATGGAGTCCTTTACTGCTTCTTTGAGATTATTTAATTTTAAATATGTGTTCTTTACTGCTCCTTTCCCAACACAAGGTAACAGTACTCATGGATAATTCTATATCCTGATGGAGCTTAGAAAAAACAGAACCTTAAGAAATCTCTTTACAAAGCTGGCATGGAATAGGGCAGAGCCTAAGCATTACAGTCAATTATAGAATGAGTTCTTATCCTATATTTCAATTTTTGTATATTACTTATGTTGTTTAACTAATAAATTCAACAAATATTTTGAGGTCCAGTTTAGCATCAGGTAAGGTAATGACGGAGGTATATGCATGATAGTTCCTACCTGTGAAAGTAAGCACAGGAGTATTTATTAGAAATGCTGTTAAAAGATTAATCTATCTGGACACTAATATTCACTTATATGATCCATTATTTGAGGTAGACTATTTGCCTAAATCTCAGTTTTCTCCTTTGTGAGATGAGGAAGTCAAAGTTTATGTGTACTTTATGAAATAGAGTTCATTGATGATCTAGGGCTCTTCAGAGGTGGTTCATGGGCTACTCTAAGATATGTGAAAGAAACATCCCTCACTTTCAGCTGAACTTTACTTCTGGTGTTCTGCCTATGTGTAGCGCCTTTTATCACTGTTACTCTAAATCTAGGCACAGTGATCTGTAAATAATGACTTTGATTATGGTGATTTCTCCGAAATGTTTTATCTTTGTACAAATGGATTTTTCCAGAATAGAGAGGACTCATTTATTTTATTGTTGAAGAAATAGACCCAGGTCAGGGTGTTTATTTAAGTTAATGTTATAGTCATAATACATATGTAGAAATATCAACAATACATTTTATTATCTGCATATACACGTAAGTGCTTATGTATAGATGAAATGAATGAAATCAATGATGCAAGAGTCAGGAAGGAGGAATTATGCTTATTTTATTAATTAATAGGTACACTACCTGTAAAGTAGTACACTAATATTTGAAATTAGGCTTAGATTAGTTGCATATATATATTATAAACTTAGGGCAATTACTAGGAATGGGAAAATAGAGTTGATTTTCTAAAAAAAAAAAAATAGAATCACAAAATTTTCAATTTAACTTGCAAAAAGCATAAAAAGAGGGCATGACAGAAGTAGGAACCAAAGACAAGGACAACAAATTGAAAATAGCAACAAATATGATAGATATTAACCCAATAATACCAATAATCACTTTGAACCTCAATGGTAACATGCATCAAGTTTAAAACAGACTGTCAAAGCGAATTAAAAAATAAGACCCAACTATATGATGTGGAAGAAACCTGCTTTAAATATGGACATATACATTAAAAGCAATGTATGGAAAAAGATATATGATGCTAGCACTAATTAAAACAAAGTAAGGGTAGTTACATTAATTCAGACAGCAGCAGGAAAATTATCAAAGATAAGAAGGGTACTAATGATAACAAAGCCAATTCTCTAAGAAAACATAACAATCCTTAGTATGTATGTGTCTAATAGTATCAAAATAAATAAGGCAAAAAATTAAAAACCTCCAAAGAGAAGTGGATGAATCCACTATTATCAATGGAAATTTCAAAACCCCTCTGTCAGAAATAGATCCAGCAGGAAGAAAATCCGGATATATTTGAGTTCAACAAATACCGTCAACTAACTAGCCATTATTGACATCTACATACTATCTTATCCAACAACAGAATACACATTCTTCTCCAGCTCACATGAAACATTCAGCAAGGTAGATTGCATTATGGGCCATTAAACACACCTTAAACATAAATAAAAGAAATTAAGTTCTCAAACACAATAGAATTAAGCTAGATATCAGCAGAATGGTAAAGTTTCAAAACACATGGAAATTAAACAACACACTTGTAAATAAGACATAAGGCAGAGGAGAAATCTCAAATTAGAAAATATTTTAGAAAATGTACTTTATCAAAATTGGTGAAGTTTAGAGGACTGAATGATTGTGTTAGAATACTCTAAAACCAGTTATTTGTGTTTGCACCTTAAGAAACTAGAAAGAGAACAAAGTAAACCTCAAGTAAGCAGAAGAAAAGAAAACCTTAAAAGTTAGGACAGTTCCAAACATCATGTTATACACATTAAATATACACAATTTTTACTTGTCAAAAACTTTGGAATATAAATCAATGAAATGGAAAACAGGAAATCTAAAGAGAAGGTGGAACCCAAAGCTACAAAATCTAAAAGAATATTGAAAATATATGTAGGCTAAGTAGGGTAAAAAAGGGAGAGGAAGAGCACACAAATTACTAGTTTTGGGAATGAAACAGATTTCATGGGCATTAAATGGATAATAAAGGAACACTATGAACAATATTATACCCACAAATTTGATAACCTACATGAAATGGACCAACTCCTTGAAGACACAAACTACTAAAGCTCATACAGGAAGAAATAGATAATTGGAACAGGCCTCTATTTATGAAAGGCATTAGATCAATAAATTATTCATAGCTTTGATAAACAATAAACACTAGAGTCAGATGAACTTATTGTTAAATTTTAAAACCATTTAAGGAAGAAATTCTACCACTTCTCTACAGTCTCTTTCAGCATATTGAGATTGAGGAAATACATCCTAACTCATTCTATGAGGTTAGCATTAGCCCATCAACAAAACCAGATATAAGACAATAAGACATTTGAAGGAAAGAAAACAACAAATTAATATCTGTCATGAGCATAGATGCAAAAATCTTCAAGAAAATATTAGTAAATCAGGTCCAACATTGTATAATAAAGAGTTATACATAATGACCTAATTTTACACCCTAATATCGCATTTGAAAATTGATTAAAATAACCCACATTATCAACAAGCTAAAGAAGAAAAATTGCATGATCATATAAAAAGCATTTGATAAAACTCAGTATCCATTCATAATAGAAACCCTCAAAAATGAAGAGTAGATCTCTCTTTCTCAACTTGGTAAACAGCATCTACAAAATTCTACATCATAGTTAATGGTCAGAAACCAGAAGCTTTCTCATTAAATTAGGAACAAAGCAAGGATATTCCCCAACCATTCCTTTTCAACTTCTTTCTAGAAGTTGTAGCAATGAAATAAGACAAGAAAAAGAAATAAAGACATACTGATTGTGAAGAGGAAAATAAAATTGCTTTTGTATTTTTTCTTGGGTTCCTGAATTAACAGTAATGAAAAGGTTGCAGCACAGTAGGATAATATAAAATTAATGTATAATACAAGGATAATATATACATTAATATAGATTTCAATTGCTTTTCTCCACCACCAATGAAAAAGTAGAATTTAAAATTAAAAATGCAGTACTATTTACATTAGTACCCCCTAAAATAAAATACTTTGGTATAAATCTGACAAAGTATACATAAGATCTGAATGAGGAAAAAGTATAATTTGATCAACAAAATCAAAGCTAGAGAGATATTCATTGTTATAGATAGAATGACTCAGTATTGCAAAAATATCAATTCTTCTGAACTTGATCTATAGATTCAATGCAATTCTATTCAAAATTTCAGCAAATTATTTTGTAGGTATCAATAAGCAGATTATGGTGAGACAAATGACTCATAATAGGCAATACAACATAAAAGAGAAAACAGTTTGAAGGACTGATGATACAGTCTGACTTCAAGACTTACTGCATTGTCAAGACAGTATGCATTGGTGTAATAAAAAACAAATAAACCAGTGGAGCACAAGAAAGACATAAGAAACGACCCACATATAAGGAATGATTGAAACATACGATGACCCTTTAAATTAAAATAAAAACTTGTTACAGTAAAAGACACATTGTGGGGCCGGGGATTTAGCTCAGTGGTTCCACTGGCTGCCTTACAAGTGCAAGGTCCCAAGTTCGATCCCTGGTACCAAAAAAAAATAAAAGAAAAAGATACATTGCCAAGAACAATGAGATACCTGGGGTGGGGGTATTTTAAGTTTTTGAAAGAGAATAATAACAATGTATTTTTACTGTAGTAAATTCTTTTATTTGAATGTTCACTGTAGTTTTTGATCTCGCCCCACTGATCAATCTTATGGGAATTTCTGTCAAGTAACACATTACAGTGTCCTTTTCCACTTATTCACAACATCTACTGTTGTGGTACTTCTGACTTCTTCCCCAAAATCAAAATGATCATGAAAGTCAAATGTTTTGAATGGATTCAGGACATCCAGGCAGCTACTACAGTGCAACTGAAGACACAAAATGGCTTTCAGAACTGCTTCTGGAAATGGCAAAAATGATACAATAAGTGTTTTTGAAGTGAGAGGAAATAGTTTGAGAGATATTAATGGCAATATGTCTACTGTAATACTTTGAAAAACTTAATCACTCACCCTACTTTTTGATCACGACTAGTAAGTATATTCCACTGATCTTTGACAAAGGATAAAAGGCAATAAAATTAAACAAATTTAGTCTCTTCAGCAAATGGTGTGGAACAAAACATCCACAACAAAACAAAGAAGAAAAAAACTAGACACAGACTTCATACTGTCATAATAGTTAACTCATAGTAGATCTCAGACCTAAGTGTTCAACAAAAAAACTATAAAATTCCTAGAAGAAAACATAGGAGAAAATCTATGTGACTTTGGGCTTGTCAATGACTTTTTAGATATGGCACCCCACTCACAAATGATATAAAAGAAATAATTGATAACCTGAAATTTATTAAAATCATTTTTTATTTGAAAAAGATATTGTCAAGAAAATGAAAAGATTAGTCACACACAGAAAAATAATATTTGCAAAAGATTTATTAAAGGACTTATCTAGAACTCAGAATTTATATAAAGAATTTTAGAAACTCAACAATAAGAAAACAAGCAACCTGATTAAAAAATATGCTAAAAATCTTAAAGGATACTTCACCAAAGTTGATAGGCAGATGACAAACAAGCATGTGAAAAGATGCTGACATCACACATCAAAAGGAAATGCAGATTAAAATAACAATATGATAGCACTATACAACCACAAAAATCTGAAACACTGACAACAGCAAATTCTGCCCAGGATATGGCACAGTTGAAACTCATTCACTGTTGGTGGGAATGCAAGAAGGTACAGTCTCTTTGGAATCCAGTTTGGTGCTTTCTTACAAAGCTAAACGTGCTCTTACCATACAAACCAGTGATTACACTCCTTGGTATTTACCTAGGGATTGAAAACTTATGTCCACACAAAACCTGCAGAGTTGTTAATAACAGTTTCATTCACAATTGCTAATACTTGGTTGCAATCAAGATAACCTTCAGTATGTGAATGGATAAATAAACTGGAACACATAAAGACAATGAAATATTATTTGATACTAAAAATAAATGAGCTATCAAGAAATGAAAAAGACTGAAGTAATCTTAAAGGATATTAATAAATAATAGAAGGCAATGCGAAAAGTAGTATGATTTCAGTGACATTACAGAAAAGATAAAATCATGAAAAATCAATGGTTTCCGGGGGTGTGGGGGAAAGGAAGGAAGGAGAGTGTGTGGAGGGTGAGGGGCTGGATAGTGGAGCACGGGGGATTTTAGGGCAGCAAAACTATTCTGTCTGATGTTGGAATGGGTTGATGTTACTGCCCTTTTGTCCAACCCCAGGGAATGTACATGCCATGAATGGACCCTGGGCTTTGGACGACAATGACATGTTCATGCACGTTCAGCTATTACAACAAAGGGAACATGCTGCTGTCAGCTGTTGATCCTGGGACAGTTTCATGCAGGAGCATGGGGCATATGGGATATCTCTGTACCTTCTTTCAGTTTTGCTTGAAACCTAACTAGGCCTCCCCTTAGAAAATGAAGTCTTTTTTAAAATATAGAAACCACAAAAGAAATAATCATAGTGTGATGAAAAAGGAGAGTTCATTTAAATCATATGAGTAAACTTTTTGTAAAATACTGATTAATTAAAGCTACTTCCTGGTATTCTCAATCACCTCATTTACAATATATGTAAATAGTTCCCCAAGAATTTGGACTAGCAGATTCTATTCATTTCAGTGAATAATTATGAGGTACCCTCTATAAGCCAAATACTTATCAATGTGCAGAGATTTTCTTGTCAATAAAATACAGAAATGCATTCACGAAACTTCCAAGCTGAAGAGAAGATATTAAACAACTAATAAATATATAATAATTTGTGATTATGATGAACACTTTGAAAGAAAAATGGGGTGAGGGGGAATCACAGGGAATGACATTATTGGCTATGATGAAATTAATTTGGAGACAATTTAGAAACACAACTCAATTTTTTAAATGATCTGTAGGTGTGGAGGCTATGTGGAATTTATAGATCACAGCAAATTATATTAATTATGTCATTGTATAGTAATATATTACATAATCTGCTATATAATTAATGATTATATAATGTTATTAACAGTTATATTAAACATGAAGATAAATACCAGAGAGATTAAGAGATTTGTTCAATATTCTAGAAATTATCAAAATTTCATTGCTTTAAAAACAGCTCATTCATAATGAACTCATACTTCACTCTTTTTTTCCCATAAATTTTTCAAAAGCCTGAAGTTTCACTGTTTTGTTATCTAAGACACATAATTTTCTGTCATGTGCTATTTTGTACATTGTCAATATTGGAGTGAGATACCTCTTGTTAATGTCACAAAAGTTCTGGGTCTGCCTAAGCTCAGAATTTCTGCTGACCGAAGGACCATGTGTCCTATCAACTCTGAGTCATTGCCCCACTGGGGCCAGGTCCAGTGGCTGCAAGCCCTGTCTCTGTCAATCACAGTGCCAAGAGTCTACAGATGTCTTCTACATGGAGATTAAGTGGTCATAAATAAAGCATTTTTACTCCCAGAAAAGGTGGGATATATAAACCCAGAGAGGATGGAGTTTTAGGAGCTTTATAATTGATCCAGCTTCAGATTTATGACTTAGAAAATGAGACTAAAAAATTTATTTTGGCAACTGGATGCTCATAGGAAACAAGAGAGCTTTATGTGGGCTCTTGCTCAAGAATCTTCAGTGGCCCCTATGACCTCCTGAGCTGAGTGAACAACTCAGTCTGACTCTGCTACAAAGCAGTGGAGCTGGATGGAGTCACTGTAAATTTCAGGCCCCTGTGGTTCTGTGACTTTTCATATGCTCAACTCAGCAAAATATGGGGCCAAATGTGTGTGTGCAGCAGAGGTCCACAGTGATGCAGAAAAGTGGAATCAAAAGATGATGGCCTCTGGAGTTGTCCAGGTTGGCATTTGGACCTCATGCTAGCCACTTTGTAGTTGTGGGACTAGAGCTATTTATTCTAAGCCTCTGTTTCTTTATATTCAAAATGATAAAAATGTATCTATTTCTTATGGTTAATATATCATTCTCTGTAGCATATATTAAGTATTTGATATATAGAGATGCTTAATAAATGTCAAGAACCTTTTCATAATGAAAATTCCTAATCACCCACAGCCCATCATAGTTTGATTTTTCTTTTTATCATAGACTCTTCCCAAAATTCTTGATAAGCTAGCACCTGCATTCACAATGAGCAGCTGCAGCTTTCTGGTGGAGAAATCTCGAGCCTCTACTGCCCGGGTGGTGGTGTGGAGAGAGGTGGGTGTGTCTAGAAGCTACACCATGGAGACCAGCTACTGTGGCTGCAATCGGGGCCCCTATAAGGTATGTGAGGTTGCACACCCCACTCCCACCCCCATGGTTCCTGCTCAGGAGACTTACACAGAAATGGGGAGCTATAACAGACCCCTTATCCCTACTTTCTCACTTTGAAGGATAAGAAGGCTCCAAGTAGAATCTAGTCCTGCCCCTTTGCCTTGAAGAGCTGATTCAGTGTTTGCATCTTCTCTGTGTACCCTAGAAGGAATGTGTGCTTGTCTTCCAGTTCAGTTCTTCCATCAGATGGGCCCAAGCAGCAAGCATCAAGGAGCCTCCCTTTGACCTGCATTCCCTACTTTTGCAAAATTTCTTCTTGCCTGACTCTGTGATATGCATGGAAAACTGTTGTCTTTTATAACAAGTGGACTAGTCCCGTATGCACCATGCAGGGCATAGATCATCTATGGATATTGTCAATACATTTATGTGTCATATTTGTCTTGTGTGTCAATCTAAATCAACAGCTCTCTGCGTTACCCTGTTGCCACCAGAGCACAGAAATGTGTACATGGCATAGTCTCCCAGAATGAGTGGGTCTGGAAGTCATGCACTAGTGTTGAGGGAAAGTGCTCTTATATAAATCATGTTCTTTCTACAGCTATATTAACAGCATGAGCAGCTGGATAGCTGCTGTAGCAGGCTGTTCTGGCTGCTCTTCCCATTCCCCCATAGAGAAATATAAATAAGGGACACTGTGACAGTGCCAGGGTAATAGACTCTTTTGAATTTCTTAGGCAAGCTGACAGTCTACTCCTTGGTGATTTCCATTCAGCCCTATGAATACCTGGACCTCACCAGCATTCAAGCTCATTGTGTTGGCTTTGATAGTCTCATGGAGCAGCCAGGAAAGACTTGGAATCTATGCAATCCCTAGCTTGTAGGAATCTGTTAGCTATCAAAGGGAGTGTGGGAGGGACAGGCAATGAACATTTATCTGACTTCCCACCTGGTCAGAGATTTTTGACACTAGGCCACTGAACTGTTCGTTTCGACCACTTAATTCTGACAAAAAGCATCTAAACAGTGCTTCAAATAATTATTTTGTTACTGGATGAATGTTATTAGACTGAATTAATCATATTTATTCACATTAATGCAGATGCAGAAGAACTGAGATCATTAAATAAATATTAAAAGACTTTACCTTTCCACTTAGAATAATGCTGAAAGTGTCTTTGTCCCCTTGAACTTATGAATTTCACATGTCAAATGCAGAGGGTAATTCAGGTTCCTTTCCTTTGTACCACAAAAGAGTTTTTGTAACCATTTACTTGAATGTCCTTGAGATTATTTCATCAGGAGCCTGTTCACTGTTGGCATTCTAAACATTCAAGGCTTCAGAAAGCTAAGCATGGAATATTGTACTGCCAAGGCTTTACAGTTATAGGTTCTGCCTCTCTAGCTTCAAGCCTCTGTTTGGAAAGCAGTGTCAGTCATTTATTTAAAAGACATTCGATGCAACCTTTTACAGATTTATCAGATTGGCGACTTAACATTGACTTTGTTTCTCCAAGTGCCAATTCAGACTAACAGTTTCTAGTCACATAAATATCACTGCCATTCATGATAAATCATCTGGGGACTCCAAGTCCTTTGAATTTTTTGAAAGCTAAATGGCTCATAGGCCAGGCCCGCATCAACTCTCCATCTTCCATACAACACAGATAATGACTACTAGAAATGACTAAGAATAAAAGAGGCCCATCCAGGGCTGGGGATTTAGCTCAGTGGCACCATGCCTGCCTCGCAAGCACAGGATCCTGAGTTCAGTCCCCTGTACCAAAAAAAAAAAAAAAAAAAAAAGAAGAGGCCCACCCAATGGGATGGGTTTCAGATATCAATGCTGCATTTATCTCATGAAATTTTCCACATGGCTTTTGCACGGGGGTCTCTAGAAGGAAGAATGGAGAGAGAACTGGCTAGAGAAAAGCCTAACAGTGCCAGACCTGGTTTTGGTTTAAAAATTCCATTATGTATATGAAACACCTCTCTAAATGGGTTGTTTTCCCCCTTCCCTTTGTTTTCCCTGCCCCGACAAACACTATTGAGGAACTGAGCAGAATTGTAGACAGTGAGTGAAGGGGTGGTGACTAATTTTACATATGAGAGGGTCCACCCTACAAGGGAAAGAAGCGAGCCCAGAATTGGGTGTTTTGGTGATTTTGCTTGAGGTATATAATAAAGTCTATGAGCTATAAAGCAGTATAGAAATTTCCATCCTGAACATATTGCAAATGAGTTTTGTACATTGGGAAGCTGTGTCCCAGTTGGGTCTTGAGGTTATTATTCTAAGGTCATCTTTCCATTTTTTGTTTAGCATTACCATTTATCCAAAAAATGGAGGACACTTAAATACACCCACGAGGGGCATTCCTTCCTTCCTTCATAAGAATATAAATATTTTTGCAGTTTCTCTGGTTAACATGGCTTTAAAGTAGTTCCAATCATTTCTCCCCCAGCACCCTAAGTACCTGATTTGTTAGTAGTGAAATGAAATATCATTTCTTACAGTGACATTTATGTTGGAACTACATTAAAGAACATAAGCTATTACCTTCAAATAATTATTATGAATATGGTATTTTCCCTTCTATTTTCCAGTCTATAGCTGGCTAATTTAAAAAAATTCCTCTGCTTTTATTTCTTTGAGATACAGTCTGTGCTGCTAGTCATACACTGAAATCCATAATTTGTATTTAATGTGGAAGTCCCACCCATTGAGAGATTTACTTTACCTATTAGTGACTGGCCCAGAGTTATTGAGGCTGTTCAGGGGGAAGCCAAAATGGAATGATGCATCGTCTGGGAGTTCATTTTTTAGAGGTGTCCAGTCTTTGTGGACAGCTGTGTGTTTCACACGAGTGATTGTGACCTGGGGTTGCATACATGGTGTGTTTGCACATACAAAGACATGCGATGGGGCCCTGTGTGATGCTAGTGGCTTAGGAGGGTAATGCTAGCACTCCCACCCAAGCAGGCTGTCGGCTCACTTCTTGGCAATGCTACTAACTTGTGGGATGGCAAAGTGGACTTAGTCAGAGGAAGGATGGAAGATGGGTGACTCAGCTGAGGTTCGAGGAGTGATTCAACCAGTATTTAAATCCCCTACCTGCAAACTGCATTCTTTGCATTGGAGACCCCACAAATGATCCATCTTCCTAAACACACACAGAGGGTTATGTCTAGCTAAAATCTAAGTATTTATTATGATGTTAAGGCCCTTTACAATCTATTTTTTTAACACTCAATGCTTAGTGTAGTATAGAGTAGGTATTAGAAATGTATAATGACGGATAAATGAATCAGTAAACGAACAAATTAATGAATGGCCATTTCCAGGCAGTGAAATGTTTATCCTCTATGACCAGGGGTAACTAAAAAGAAAAAAGGATCACTGTGGTCCAAATGTAATCAGGAGTCATTCCAAAGAACAGTTTTTAAGAGTGATTGGACTGCATGGAAATGGGCAACATGTGGGTGAAAGAGGGAAGACATGGAATGCAGTGCTGAGACCCTTCAGATCTGTCACTGTGTGCATGATTTGAGAGCATCTAATGGATTCTTTTCCAGAGTATGGTGTTTCTAACCCAGGTGTGAAATCTCCCATGGCCCCATTCTAGTAACAGATGATGATTGGGCAGAAAGCTTCATCTATACACGTGGTAGATGCTGCTGTTCACCCTCTAGGTTCTCCTTCAGGATCCAGGTTTCCATGGATGCTCACGGCTGTGTCTATCACCAAGCATTGCTCATTGCTCGAGGAAGTCCCTGGCGAGAGCTGGACTTCTCCTACAGAGCTTCCTGCATCCAATAGCTGATTTAGGTGGGGTGCAAAGACCTGGCCTTCTTGCTTCAGGTGGGACAATTCCAAAGGGCCTTTTCAATGCTCAAACTCCCTGCAGTATCAGCTGGGGCCTCTGTTGCAATTGCACTGTTGCTCAATTTCTCCCTCATTCTGTTTTCCTACCACTCACAGGTGTTCCCGTGAGCACTCTCCAAAAGTCTTTCCACATGCAAATCTCAGAGCCTGAGAGGATGCTTTTTGGGGAAAGTATCTTGTAACACTATTTCATAATGGCTTAGATTAGAAGACATAGATGTTGGAACTCGGCACTTAAACTGTTGAAGATGGATTGATAGGGATGAATTTCGTGCAGAAAATTAAGTTATCTGAACTCAGCATTCAAGGCTCCCAGTGTTTGTTCATTCAGACTCTGCTTGGCTTTGTTTTTGGTGAAATGAAGGCCCCATTTGACTAGAGTTTGCAGCTTGGGGAAGGGATTCTGGCACAGATTCAGAATAGAGGCTGGGCATGTTATTTTTGTAGGACCACAAATGACCACAAACTAGTTGGCTTAAAAAACATAAATTTGTTTTCTCACAGGTATAGAGCCTAGAAGGCTGAAAGCCAGGTATTAGCAGGGCTGTGTTCTCTCTAAAGGGTCTAGGGGAAATACTATTGCTTGCTTTTCTTAACTGCTGGTATTGCCAAGGATCCTTGATATCCTTGGGCTTGTAAATGTACAACTCCAACCTCTGCCTTTGATCTCACGTGGACTTCTCCACTGTGTGCCTTGTCCATTTCTTCTTCCCTTCTTAAAAGGATACAAGTCATGTTGCAGTAAGGGTCTATCTTACTCTAGTATGATCTCAACTAATTCCATCTGCTGCAATCCTATTTCAGAATAGATCGAATTTTGAAGTTCTGTGAAAGAGATGAATTTGGGAGAGGCACTATTCAACGTAGATATCTGGGACAAAACACCAAATACAGTACACCTAGGCCCAAGAATTAAGGGAAGAATTTTATTCCTGTCTTTATATTGCCATACTTTGAAGCCCTGCGTTTATCTTTCACAGGTCTTATAGTCTTTCCAACTTATGACCAGGAAAATAAGTTTTCTTGGAGCTTCTTAAAAAACATGTTTGAGAGTCATGACATGTGTGATGAGAGCTGATTAATGCTGCTTGAGTATTATAATACACAATATTTAAGTAGAAAGAAT